TGTGATGTCTGTTTGACTGGTATGATAGCTATTTCTGTGAAATTATCCCTGGTGTGATGTCAGTTTAATTGGTATGATAGCTATTTCTGTGAAATTATCCCTGGTGTGATGTCAGTATAACTGTTATGATAGTTATTGGTGTGAAATTACCCTTGATGTAATGTCAGTATAATTGGTATGATAGCTATTTTTGTGAAATTATGCTTGGTGTGATGTCAGTATTACTAGTATGATAGCTATTTCTGTGAAATTATCCTTGGTGTGATGTCAGGATGACTGGTATGATAGCTATTTCTGTGAAATTATTTTTGGTGTGATGTCATGATGACTGGTATGATAGCTATTTCTGTGAAATTATCCTTGGTGTGATTTCTGTTTGACTGGTATGATTGCTATTTCTGTGAAATTATCCTTGGTGTGATGTCAGTATAACTTGCATGATAACTATTTCTGTGAAATTATCCTTGGTGTGATGTCAGTATTACTGGTATGATAGCTATTTCTGTGAAATTATCCTTGGTGTGATGTCAGTATGACTGGTATGATAGCTATTTCTGTGAAATTATCCTTGGTGTGATGTCAGTATTACTGGTATGATAGCTATTATCCTTGGTGTGATGTCAGGATGACTCTGTATTTCTGAAATTATCCTTGGTGTGATGTCATAGCTATTTCTGTATTACTGGTATGATAGCTATTTCTGTGAAATTATCCTTGGTGTGATGTCAGTATTACTGGTATGATAGCTATTTCTGTGAAATTATCCTTGGTGTGATGTCTGTATTTCTGTGACTGGTGTGATAGCTATTTCTGTGAAATTATTCTTGGTGTGATGTCTGTTTGACTGGTATGATAGCTATTTCTGTGAAATTATTCTTGGTGTGATGTCTGTTTGACTGGTATGATAGCTATTTCTGTGAAATTATCCCTGGTGTTATGACAGTTTTACTGGCAGCTATATCTGTGAAATTATCCTTGGTGTGATGTCAGTATAACTTGCATGATAACTATTTCTGTGAAATTATCCTAGGTGGGATGTCAGTATTAATGGAATTATAGCTAATTCTGTGAATTTATTCTTGGTGTGATGTCAGTATTACTGGTATGATAGCTATTTCTGTGAAATTATCCTTGGTGTGATGTCAGTCTGGTATGATAGCTATTTCTGTGTAATTATCCTTGGTATGATGTCAGGATGACTGGTATGATAGCTATTTTTGTGAAATTATCCTTGGTGTGATGTCAGTATTACTAGTATAATAGCTATTTCTGTGAAATTATCCTTGGTGTAATATCTGTTTCACTGGTATGATAGCTATTTCTGTGAAATTATCCTTGGTGTGATGTCAGTATTACTGGTATGATAGCTATCTTCTGTGAAATTCTGTGAAATTATCCTGTGAAATTATCCTTGGTGTGATGTCAGGATGTGGTATGATAGTATTTCTGTGAAATTATTTTTGGTGTGATGTCAGTTTACTGGTATGATAGCTATTTCTGTGAAATTATCCTTGGTGTGATGTCAATATGACTGGTATTAATGGTACTATTTCTGAGAAATTATTCTTCGTGTGATGTCATGATGACTGGTATGATAGCTATTTCTGTGAAATTATTCTTGGTGTGATGTCAGTATAACTGGTATGATAGCTATTTCTGTGAAATTATCCTTGGTGTGATGTCTGTTTGACTGGTATGATATCTATTTCTGTGAAATTATCCTTGGTATGATGTCTGTTTGACTGGTATGATAGCTATTTCTGTGAAATTTCTGTGAAATTATCCTGTGAAATTATCCTTAGTGTGATGTATTACTGGTATGATAGTATTTTTGTGAAATTATCCCTGGTGTGATATCAGTATTACTGGTATTATAGCTATTTCTGTGAAATTATCCCTGGTGTGATGTCAGTATAATGATAGCTATTTCTGTGTAATTATCCTTGGTATGATGTCAGCTATTTAGCTATTTCTGTGAAATTATCCTTGGTGTGATGTCAGGATAAGCTATTTCTGTGAAATTATCCCTGGTGTGATGTCAACTATTTATTTCTGTGAAATTATTCTTGGTGTGATGTCAGGATGACTGGTATGATAGGTATTTCTGTGAAATTATTCTCGGTGTCATGTCAAGATGACTGGTATTATAACTATTTCTGTGAAATGATCTTTGGGGTGATGTCAATATTACTGGTATGATAGCTATATCTGTGAAATTATCCTTGGTGTGATGTCAGTATAACTTGCATGATAACTATTTCTGTGAAATTATCCCTTGTGATGTCAGTGATAAGCTATTTCTGTGAAATTATCTTTGGTGTGATGTCTCTTTGACTGGTGTGATAGCTATTTCTGTGAAATTATCCCTGGTGTGATGTTAGTATTACTGGAATGATAGCTATTTTTGTAAAATTATCCCTGGTGTGATGTCAGTATTACTGGTATGATAGCTATTTCTGTGAAATTATTTTTGGTGTGATGTCAAGATGACTGGTATGATAGCTATTTCTGTGAAATTATCCTTCTGTGATGTCAGGATGATAGCTGGTGTGATGTATGATAGCTATTTCTGTGAAATTATCTTGTTGTGTGATCAGTTAACTGTGTGATGTCAAATGATGACTGGTATGATAGCTATTTCTGTGAAATTATCTTTGGTGTGATGTCTCTTTGACTGGTGTGGTAGCTATTTCTGTGAAATTATTCTTGGTGTGATGTCAGTATAACTGGTATGATAGCTATTTCTGTGAAATTATCTTTGGTGTGATGTCTCTTTGACTGGTGTGATAGCTATTTCTGTGAAATTATCCCTGGTGTGATGTTATAACTGTATGATAGCTGGAAATTATCTTTGATGTCTCTTTGAGCTATTTTTGAAATTATCCCTGGTGTGATGTTAATTACTGGAATGATAGCTATTTTTGTAAAATTATCCCAGTTGTGATGTCAGGATGACTGGTATGATAGCTATTTCTGTAAGATTATTCTTGGTTTGATGTCAGTATAACTGGTATGGTAGTTATTTGTGTGAAATTACCCCTGGTGTGATGTCAGTATAACTGGTATGATAGCTATTTCTGTGAAATTATCCTTGGTGTGATGTCAGGATAACTGGTATTATAACTATTTCTGTGAAATTATTCTTGGTGTGATGTCAATATTACTGGTATGATAGCTATTTCTGTGGAATTATCCTTTGTGTGATGTTAGTATTACTGGTATGATTGCTATTTCTGTGAAATTATCCTTGGTGTGATGTCAGTATTACTGGTATGATAGCTATTTCTGTGGAATTATCCTTGGTGTGATGTTAGTATTACTGATATGATTGCTATTTCTGTGAAATTATCCTTGGTGTGATGTCAGTATTACTGGTATGATAGCTATTTCTGTGGAATTATCCTTGGTGTGATGTTAGTATTACTGATATGATAGTTATGTCTTTGAGGATATCTCTGTTGTGATATCAGTATAATTGATATGTTATTGATGTCTTTGAGGATATCTCTGTTGTGATATCAGTATAATTGATATGTTAGTTATGTCTTTGAGGATTTCTCTGTTGTGATATCAGTATAATTGATATGTTATTGATGTCTTTGAGGATATCTCTGTTGTGATATCAGTATTATTGATATGTTATTGATGTCTTTGAGGATATCTCTGTTGTGATATCAGTATAATTGATATGTTATTGATGTCTTTGAGGATATCTCTGTTGTGATATCAGTATTAGTGGTATTTAATAACACTACCAGTAGAAGATTATGGTGTGACGTTTCGATGACTACACAAATGACTGGTACGGAAGGTATAGGTACTTGACTGATATACGTGTTGTGTAAGGGATGGTATTAAATCGACCACAGTCTCTTACATGTCAATGACTAAGTGTTAAACAAATCGAAGCTGAATTGACTACCGTATAGTGTAAACATGTTGAGTGTTTTTGTCTATAATCTGCTTACTACACTAGTACAGTCGAAAAAGTCGGTCGATTCCTTACCATCTCGTTATTTTTTTTTTTTTTTTTTTTTTCTTTTTAGTTAGAAATTATAGATTTAATGATATAATTTGATGTGTATGTGTTTTCTGTCTGATAATTGTTACAACTAGTTTGAGTACTGTTTCCAACGTATTTGTAACGTTATTGAATTATAAGTTTAATCTGTGTATGTATAAAAAGATATTGTTATCGTAATAGGGATTTTGTACACTGTAATGCTTTGCAATGTTTATTGTGTAGATGACAATTTTAGTAAGAAACATTGTGACATAAAAATAATCACGTGATCAAAATTATGATGTCAAGATCAATATTACTGCACACCTGAAGTAGAGGGACAATGGGGCCGGACTGACTACTGTCATGTTATCCAATAGTCTTACTGACACATACCAATATGCAGTATTTCAGACATCGTCACGATAAATTTAGCTTATTGGTTGTTGTATTTTTTAACTTGAATAGCTTTTTCGCCGTTTCAGAAAAAAAAAGCGTTGACAAATCTTTCAATTTAACATTTATCTTTAACATGTATTGATGTCACTTTTTGTTTTGGAGCATATTCCTCCTTACCTAGGATGTTCACATATCATAGTTGAACACCAGGATTTTTAAATCTTTCTTTTGTTCATATTTTGCATCATCTGTCTGGGTTTGAATTATAGTAATGATATTTTTAGAGTTCATTTCATGACTTTCATAAATATTTCTCATCTCGTTTTTTGATAGAACTGAGAGTATTTAGATTATTCACACCAAACAACCGTTTTAGTAATTTTGACAGAAACATTGCTTCATAGAGTTGGCACTGCTAACAAGGAGACCACACATTCCTAAGTTTTGGTGTTCCTCTGGCATTTGGTTTGTAATAAGAAGGATAAGCTTCGCATGACTTTCAACTGTCAGAGATGGATTGTGTTTGTCTCTTTGGAATGTATCCTGGCTTGTCAACTATGATCGAAAAAGTTAATTGAAATATATAAGCTGATCTCCATCAAACCTCATCACATTTCAGCTGTGTATAACCTGCCTTTACCACATGGTCACGTTGTAGGTTTCGCCACCAGATAAAGAAACCGATTACCATTATCGAGAGGAGAATCAGTGACGTCACGGCCATGCCTAGTAGCATGTTTGCGTCATATGCGTACTCACTTTCGTCTTCCTCTTCTTGCTGAAATAATTCATATTAACAACCAAGTATAGGTTAATAAATAAGGTCTAAACAAAAGATTTAATCGTTTTTAAACAAAAAGGACAACTGAAAATTATAGACACTACAAGAAGTCAGAAAGACACAAACGTACATTTGTAAGTTATATACACTACAACAAGTCCGAATTAAGACAAAAATACGAATGTAAGTCGTATACATTACAATGTGTCACAAGAGTAAAAAAACTGTATCAGGAAGACAAAAACATGCAAATGTACAAACAGGTATGTAAATCAGTATGATTGTTTGACAAAACAGGAAAGAAAGTTAATATACGAGTACTCTAAAGGCTTGTTAATTGGTTTGTTTGTTTTGTTTTGTTGTCAGATGGAAATTATGAAATATTTATAGTTTTCATTTTCTGTTTTATTTTCTTTGTATTTGTGTATTTTTCAGACAATATATTAACCCCTCAGAAATATGGGATAACTTCCTAAGATTACCTGTGTGTAATTTGTATCCTCAGTAATAACTATTGCTGGGCAACATTAGTAATTGACATACCGTGGGTTCCAATCCTGACCCCTCCTCCTCAGGATCAAAGGGCCTAGCGCCTGTCACGTGGCCCAAGCCAAGCCACGCCCCCGTGGATGTTGATGACGAAATGCTGGATGCTTGCGCGAGTGTCGTGTCTGTAAAGTTTGTGTCGTCATTGCATATGTCATTCGTATATCCACACTGCTCCGATATTTTGGATATATCTTCAATAAACCATGACCATGGTGCGAAACTAAAACGATGAACTTACTAATGTCAGCAACTGGTGGCGATAATATTGTACAAAACACAATAACTATTTCTATACAGATATAGATAAGAAGAGCCATGAATGAATGTGCCTCTCACAAGCGTTTCTTCCTTCTCAGACTAGTAAGTGCTGATCCTTAACTGTGTAGCCTAATATTCGTCTGAGAAATATCATAATTGGTAAGAATAAATATAAAGAAAAAATATGAAAGTGCACAAATCTCAAAACTTTTCCTATTAAGGTGTACGAACATATTTTACCAATTAAAATTTACTAACATAGTTTATCTATTCATATGTACTACCATATTTTACATAGTAACATCTACTAATATATTTTACCTATTGAGATAAACTGACATATTTTACCTGTTGAAGTGTACTGGCATATTTTACCTGTTGAAGTGTACTGACATATTTTACCTGTTGAAGTGTACTGGCATATTTTACCTGTTGAAGTGTACTGACATATTTTACCTGTGGAAGTGTACTGGCATATTTTACCTGTTGAAGTGTACTGACATATTTTACCTGTTGAAGTGTACTGGCATATTTTACCTGTTGAAGTGTACTGACATATTTTACCTGTGGAAGTGTACTGACATATTTTACCTGTTGAAGTGTACTGATATATTTTAACTGTTGAAGTGTACTGACATATTTTACCTGTTGAAGTGTACTGACATATTTTACCTGTGGAAGTGTACTGACATATTTTACCTGATGAAGTGTACTGACATATTTTACCTGTTGAAGTGTACTGACATATTTTAACTGTTGAAGTGTACTGACATATTTTACCTGTTGAAGTGTACTGACATATTTTACCTGTTGAAGTGTACTGGCATATTTTACCTGTTGAAGTGTACTGACATATTTTACCTGTGGAAGTGTACTGACATATTTTACCTGTTGAAGTGTACTGATATATTTTAACTGTTGAAGTGTACTGACATATTTTACCTGTTGAAGTGTACTGACATATTTTACCTGTGGAAGTGTACTGACATATTTTACCTGATGAAGTGTACTGACATATTTTACCTGTTGAAGTGTACTGACATATTTTAACTGTTGAAGTGTACTGACATATTTTACCTGTTGAAGTGTACTGACATATTTTACCTGTTGAAGTGTACTGACATATTTTACCTGTTGAAGTGTACTGACATATTTTAACTGTTGAAGTGTACTGACATAATTTACCTATTAAGGTGAACTTACATATTTTACCTATAAAGTGGTTTTAACATATTTAACCTGTTAAGGTGATTTGACATATCTTACCAATGTGCATTTGGATTATATGTCAAAAGAATATTAAACTAGATTTTTTATAAAAAAATTCAAATACCACTTCTTGTATGAACTATTTCTGACCTTGTTAAAACGGGAACACTCTTTTGGCACTTGTGTTCCAGGCAAAGAAATGAACGTGTTATCTGTACGGACAAAAAAAAAACAGACTATATCACATATCAGATGCACAGGGTTCAGGAAATCAGTATACAAATGTTAAATACTTATCATTATAATCATTTAAATAAAACACTCATTCATTATCTTATGCTTAACACTGATGATTCAATAAATAACCTACCGGGGATCCTGGTCATTCTATCAATAACCCAACTGAGACTGATAATTCTACAGATATCCCAACTGTGACTGATGATTTTACAAATATCCCAGCTGTCTGATGATTCTATAAATATCCCAGCTGTGTTTGATGATTCTATAAATATCCCAACTCTGTCTGATGATTCTATAAATATCCCAACTGTGACTGATAATTCTATATATATCCAACTGAGACTGATGGTTTTACAAATATCCCAGCTGTGACTGATGATTCTATAAATATCCCAGCTGTGTCTGATGATTCTATAAATATCCCAGCTGTGACTTATGATTCTATAAATATCCAATCGTGACTGATGATTCTATAAATATCCCAACGGTGATTGATAATTCTATAAATATCCAACTGTGACTGATGATTCTATCAATATCCCAACTGTAAATGATGATTTTACAAATATCCCAGATGTGACTATTGATTATATTGATATCCCAACTGTGACTGATGATTCTGTAAATATCCAACAGTGACTAATGATTTTACAAATATCCCAGCTGTGATTGATGATTCTACAAATATCCAAGCTGTGATTGTTGATTCTATAAATATCTTGGCGGTGACTGATGCTTCTATAAATATCCCAGCTGTGTCTGATGATTCTATCAATATCGAAGCTGTGACTTATGATTTTACAAATATCCCAGTCGTGACTGATGATTCTATAAATATCCCAGCTGTGTCTGATGATTCTATCAATATCCCAACTGTGACTGATGATTTTACAAATATCCCAGCTGAGATTGATGATTCTACAAATATCCCGGCTGTGTTTATGATTCTATCAATATCTCAACTGTGACTGAGGTTTTACAAATATCCCAGCTGTGACTGATTATTCTACAAATATCTCAGCTTTGTCTGATGATTCTATCAATATCCCAACTGTAAATGATGATTTTACAAATATCCCAGCTGAGATTGATGATTCTATCAATATCCCAACTGAGACTGATGATTCTATAAATATCCCAACTGTGACTGATGATTCTATAAATATCCCAAGTGTGACTGATGATTCTATCAACATCCCAACTGTGACTGATGATTCTATAAATATCCCAACTGTGACTGATGATTCCATAAATATCCCAACTGTGACTGATGATTCTGTAAATATCCCAGCTGTGATTGATGCTTCTACAAATATCCCAGTTGTGACTGATGATTTTACAAATATCCCAGCTGAGATTGATGATTCTGTAAATATCCCGGCTGTGTCTGATGATTCTACAAATATCCCAACTGTGACTGATGATTCTACAAATAACCCATCTGTGACTGATGATTCTGTAAATATCCCAGCTGTGACTGATGATTCTACAAATATCCCACCTGTGACTGATGATTCTATAAATAACCCAACTGTGACTGATGATTTTACAAATAACCCAGCTGTGAAATGAATTTTATAAATGTAAAATATCCCAACTGTGATGATTTTATAAATATCCCATCTGTGACTGATGATTCTATAAATATCCCAACTGTGACTGATGATTCTATAAATATCCCAACTGTGACTGATGATTCTATAAATATCCCAACTGTGACTGATGATTCTATATCCCAATATCCCAAATATCCCATCTGTGACTGATGATTCTATAAATATCCCAACTGTGACTGATGATTCTATAAATATCCCAGCTGTGACTGATGATTCTATAAATATCCCAACTGTGACTGATGATTCTATAAATATCCCAACTGTGACTGATGATTCTATCAACATCCCAACTGTGACTGATGATTCTATATCCCAGCTGTGAAATATCCCAACTGTGACTGACGATTCTACAAATATCCCAGCTGTGATTGATGATTCTATAAATATCCCAGATGTGACTATTGATTATATTGATATCCCAACTGTGACTGATGATTCTGTAAATATCCCAACTGTGACTGATGATTTTACAAATATCCCAACTGTGACTGATGATTCTATCAACATCCCAACTGTGACTGATGATTTTACAAATATCCCAGCTGTGACTGATGATTCTACAAATATCCCAGCTGTGACTGATGATTCTATAAATATCCCAACTGTGACTGATGATTCTGTAAATATCCCAGCTGTGACTGATGATTTTACAAATATCCCAGCTGTGATTGATGATTCTACAAATATCCCAGCTGTGACTGATGATTCTATCAACATCCCAACTGTGACTGATGATTCTATAAATATCCCAACTATGACTGATGATTTTACAAATATCCCAGCTGTGATTGATGCTTCTACAAATATCCCAGCTGTGATTGATGATTCTACAAATATCCCAGCTGTGATTGTTGATTCTATCAATATCCCAACTGTAAATGATGATTTTATAAATATCCCATCTGTGATTGATGATTCTATCAATATCCCAACTGTAAATGATGATTTTATAAATATCCCATCTGTGATTGATGATTTTATCAATATCGCAACTGTAAATGATGATTCTATAAATATCCCATCTGTGATTGATGATTCTATCAATATCCCAACTGTAAATGATGATTTTATAAATATCCCATCTGTGATTGATGATTCTATAAATATCCCAACTGTGACTGATGATTCTATAAATATCCCAACTGTGACTGATGATTCTATAAATATCCCAACTGTGACTGATGATTCTATAAATATCCCAGCTGTGACTGATGATTCTATAAATATCCCAACTGTGACTGATGATTTTACAAATAACCCAGCTGTGACTGATGATTTTACAAATATCCCAGCTGTGATTGATGCTTCTACAAATATCCCAGTCGTGACTGATGATTCTATAAATATCCCAGCTGTGTCTGATGATTCTATCAATATCCCAGCTGATGATTGATGATTCTATGACTGATGATTCAAAATATCCCAGCTGTGACTGATGATTCTACAAATATCCCAACTGTGACTGATGATTTTACAAATAACCCAGCTGTGACTGATGATTTTACAAATATCCCAACTGTGACTGATGATTCTACAAATATCCCAACTGTGACTGATGATTCTATAAATATCCCAACTGTGACTGATGATTCTATAAATATCCCAGCTGTGACTGATGATTCTATAAATATCCCAACTGATGATTCTATAGATATCCAAATGTGTTTGATGATTCTACAAATATTCCAGCAGTGTCTGATGATTCTGTAAATATCCCACCTGTGACTGATGATTCTATCAATATCCCAACTGTGACTGATGATTCTGTAAATATCCCAACTGTGACTGATGATTCTATAAATATCCCAACTGTGACTGATGATTCTATAAATAATTCTATATCCCAACTGTGACTGATGATTCTATAAATATCCCAACTGTGACTGATGATTCTATACAAATATCCCAACTGTGACTGATGATTCTATAAATATCCCAACTGTGAATGATTCTATCCCAGCTGTGACTGATGATTCTACAAATATCCCAAATGATTTTACAAATATCCCAGCTGAGATTGATGATTCTACAAATATCCCGGCTGTGTTTGAGGATTCTATAAATATCCCAACTGTGACTGATGATTCTATCAACATCCCAACTGTGACTGATGATTCTATAAATATCCCAACTGTGACTGATGATTCTGTAAATATCCCAACTGTGACTGATGATTCTACAAATATCCCAGCTGTGACTGATGATTCTACAAATATCCCGGCTGTGTCTGATGATTTTACAAAATATCTCAACTTTGATGATTTTACAAAATATCTCAACTGTTACTGATGATTCTACAAATATCCCATCTGTGACTGATGATTCTATAAATATCCCAACTGTGACTGATGATTCTATAAATATCCCAACTGTGACTGATGATTCTATAAATATCCCAACTGTGATGATTCTATCAACATCCCAACTGTGACTGATGATTCTATAAATATCCCAACTGTGACTGATGATTCTATCAACATCCCAACTGTGACTGATGATTCTATCAATATCCCAACTGTGACTGATGATTCTGTAAATATCCCAACTGTGACTGATGATTTATCAACATCCCAACTGTGACTGATGATTCTATAAATATCCTAGCTGTGTCTGAAGATTCTATCAATATCCAAGCTGTGACTGATGATTCTATAAATATCTATAAATATCCCAACTGTGACTGATGATTCTATAAATATCCCAACTGTGACTGATGATTCTATAAATATCCCAAGTGTGACTGATGATTCTATCAACATCCCAACTGTGACTGATGATTCTATAAATATCCCAACTGTGACTGATGATTCTGTAAATATCCCAACTGTGACTGATGATGATTCTACAATTCTATAAATATCCCAACTATCCCAAATATCTGTGACTGATGATTCTACAAATATCCCAGCTGTGAATGATGATTCTATAAATATTCCAGCTTTGTCTGATGATTCTACAAATATCCCAGCTGTGACTGATGATTTTACAAATATGATGATTCTATAAATATCCCAGCTGTGACTGATGATTTATACAAATATCAAATATCCCAACTGTGACTGATGATTCTATAAATATCCCAGCTGTGTCTGATGATTCTACAAATATCCCAGCTGTGAATGATGATTCTACAAATATCCCAGCTGTGAATGATGATTCTACAAATAACCCATCTGTGACTGAAGATTTTACAAATATCCCAGCTGTGACTGATGATTCTATAAATATCCCAACTGTGACTGATGATTCTATCAACATCCCAACTGTGACTGATGATTCTATAAATATCCCAACTATGACCGATGATTCTGTAAATATCCAAACTGTGACTGATGATTCTATCAACATCCCAACTGTGACTGATGATTCTATCAATATCCCAACTGTGACTGATGATTCTGTAAATATCCCAGCTGTGACTGATGATTCTACAAATATCCCAGTTGTGACTGATGATTTTACAAATATCCCAACTGTGACTGATGATTTTACAAATATCCCAGCTGTGACTGATGCTTCTATAAATATCCCAACTGTGACTGATGATTCTATAAATATCCCAACTGTGACTGATGATTCTATCAACATCCCAACTGTGACTGATGATTCTATAAATATCCCAACTGTGACTGATGATTCTATCAATATCCCAACTGTGATTCTACTGATGATGATTCTACAAATATCCCAACTGTGACTGATGATTTTACAAATATCCCAACTGTGACTGATGATTCTATCAACATCCCAACTGATGATTCTACAAATAACCCAACTGTGACTGATGATTTTACAAATATCCCAGCTGTGACTGATGATTCTACAAATATCCCATCTGTGACTGATGATTCTATAAATATCCTAGCTGTGTCTGAAGATTCTATCAATATCCCAGCTGTGACTGATGATTCTATAAATATCCCAACTGTGACTGATGATTCTATAATTATCCCAACTGTGACTGATTATTCTATAAACATCCCAGCTGTGTCTTATGATTCTATAGATATCCAAATGTGTTTGATGATTCTACAAATATTCCAGCAGTGTCTGATGATTCTGTAAATATCCCACCTGTGTCTGAATATATCCCATAAATATCCCAACTGTGCTGTGTTTGAGGATTCTATAAATATCCCAACTGTGACTGATGATTCTATAAATATCCCAACAGTGACTAATGATTCTATAAATATCCCAACTATGACCGATGATTCTATCAACATCCAAACTGTGACTGATGATTCTATCAACATCCCAACTGTGACTGATGATTTTACAAATATCCCAGCTGTGACTGATGATTTTATAAATATCCCAACTGTGTCTGATGATTCTATCAATATCCCAGCTGTGACTGATGATTCTATCAATATCCCATCTGTGACTGATGTTTCTACAAATATCCCATCTGTGACTGATGATTCTATAAATATCCCATCTGTGACTGATGATTCTATCAATATCCCATCTGTGACTTATGATTCTATAAATATCCTAGCTGTGACTGAAGATTCTATCAATATCCAATTGTGACTGATGTTTCTACAAATATCCCATCTGTTACTGATGATTCTATAAATATCCTACCTGAGATTCCGGTGATTTACAGCTGTCCTCCATCAAATCATCAACTGCATTTTGCTGTAAAATTACATGAGTATGTTGAAACATTTAGTGGTCAAGGTCGATGAATTTCATCTTCGTCGTATGTCATTCAGATAAATGTATATTGTATAACACCAAAATTGTCAGACTGAATGTTTCAACAAATTTATGCATTTGTATTCATTCAAATGCAACACTAGTTCCAGAAATTAAAATATGGAGTGCGAAGTAAAATATGATTCAATTCAGAAATTCGAATGGATGACAATATAGGTGGCAAATTCTAATTTTGATGTGACCTGTGGATGCAACAAAAGCAATGGATTACGAAGTGAATTCTTGAGCGTTCATTTAATTTATGTGGAGAAATAACCTTCACCTCTTTTTGATTCTGATCTCGTAAAATGTCGACAATGGTCACATGAAGTAAGGCAATCACGTGCTGCAAACACTCAGGGGCTGTGGTCACTTCCTGTTTAAGTTGGCATAGTAGGTTGATTGACTGCAAGGTTAATACCATCCGCTACAAAATAAGAACTGATGTTCTAATATTTAAATCATCACGATCAACAGTTCGTCATATTCATTGTTATTTCCGGTCGGTGTTACTTTCCCAATTCTGTTTTTGAGAACTTCAAAATAGCGACGAAGCGGTGTTTTCCTTTACTGCACATTTGGTCTTCTGTGCTGACTTATCCACGAGACTTTGATTAAATGAGTTTTTTTGTTTGTTACAGTTACAGTTCTTGCTTTGTGGATTTCGATACATGTTTTCAATTTTGTATTATTCAGCTCCCAATATCAACCGTGTTTGTCCGACAGCACAACTGGACATTCTCCGCAATAATACCACAAACGCACCCCCCATAACACTATCATATAACAACTGCTTGCAGTGACTATATGAATAATTAAAATATTCCCTATCGCGGTACTTCTGCTGAACGGTAACTTCATATACCTAGCTTAAACCAAGCTTTATTGTAACTTCATTTTTTTTTATTTCTTTACAGTAATAATGTATAGCGTTATCTGGCAGTAGTCAAATGTTGTTTTCGTTATATCCTCCTCAAACTTGAGTAGTTTTTGTTCGCATTATTAAACTGCAACAAAAGTGTATCCAGTCTAGTACCATTTCAAATATCCTCAACACATTTCACCGTAACACTAATCTTAAATTCTGCATAAATATTTATCATTTAGTCACAATAGTAATCAAGTAAATAATATACAGTACTACATTCAATTTTATGACAATAAGACAAGGATGAGGATGTTTGTAACCCCTAATTAAGGAAATAATCCTTGTCAACCAGTAAGTGGATGTTTGTAACCCCTAAAAAAGGATATGACATTTGTCAACCAGTACGTTGATGTTTGTAACCCTAAAAAAGGATATGACATTTGTCAACCAGTACGTTGATGTTTGTAACCCTAATAAAGGATATGACATTTGTCAAAAGGATATGACATTTGTCAACCAGTACGTTGATGTTTGTAACCCTAATAAAGGATATGACATTTGTCAACCAGTACGTTGATGTTTGTAACCCTAAAAAAGGATATGACATTTGTCAACCAGTACGTTGATGTTTGTAACCCTAATAAAGGATATGACATTTGTCAACCAGTACGTTGATGTTTGTAACCCTAAAAAAGGATATGACATTTGTCAACCAGTACGTTGATGTTTGTAACTCTAATAAAGGATATGACATTTGTCAACCAGTACGTTGATGTTTGTAACCCTAATAAAGGATATGACATTTGTCAACCAGTACGTTGATGTTTGTAACCCTAATAAAGGATATGACATTTGTCAACCAGTACGTTGATGTTTGTAACCCTAAAAAAGGAAATAATCCTTGTCAACCAGTACGTGTTCGTTTGTCAGTCCTAAGACAGCAGATGCCATTTGTCAACTATTATTTGGATTTTTGTAACTCCAAATTAAGTAGAAACACTACTTATATAAGTAAATTTTCTGTAAATACTTACTGGATACAGTTCGCATTCTGTATAGTTTCCTATGTAAAGGTGAAGACATGCGAGGGTTTCCATTTCACAGACAGCATTGAATAGTTTAGATTCTCGTACCATTTCTGCTCTCTCCATCATCAGAGCATCCCAGAAATCATATCTATCTTTCAGACACCAATGCCCGCTTGAACATTGGAACAATAGTGCTCGGATGACGTCATCTGAAAACATGACGTAGTACACGTCCCAGAAATCTTCACCAATTAAAGCTTCCGGTACAGTACAAACTGTATCAAGTGCTTGGTTTGATTGACATTTTGGATCATCAGTAGTAGTTACCCATGGTGTTGTCGATGATAAGGTGGAGGTCGATGATCTAGAAATGGAGGAATTTGAAGTTGAATTGACACTCTTTGTTGTAGTTGAAGACGTGACAAATGAAGTTGTTGGTAACGTGGATGATGACGTTGTACTGTTCAGATAGTAATTGGTAGACGAGGAGACGTTTGATGTGTCCTCCGTGAGGTCATTATCAATACTATCTGTTACTTTCTGAAACAGTCTGTAAGCTGTCAATGATGTTGACGACGAAAATGTTACACAGATCAACAGAAATACGCACCAAACTTGTAGAAATGATGTCGCCATGTTGACTTTGTTTTATATAACAACCATACCCGTTTGAAATAGGTCCTTTTTGTAATCACATTAATTTATATTTACAGCAGAGCCAACTTCACCCTCTAAACCATGATACAGTCCAGACACTAAATCTGCCGTCAAGAGCTTTATGTTAACATGTTAACATGTTGAGCACACCCGACACGTGGTGTACGATAGCCCAATAAGATCACTGACCTTGCGCTTGGAAATGATAAAGAATAAAAGAATTTGCCATACATAATGTCTACCAGCAATAATCTATCGGCGATTCCTTTCTTTCCTGAATAAAGCAGAGAGGTGTAGCCTATGATAAGATGTTTATATATACCCGACGAGCATTGGATGGTGTACAGCTAGTGACATACAACAATACTCAGGCTGTTACATTACACGACGTAATAGAGCTTAACTTTATTTCTTTGTTTAGTTTTTTATGTTAAGGTTTTGGATAATGAAGTACATAAACATTGTGCATCATATCAACATAGTACACTTTCTGCTACGTCAGACGCAAAGTTATCATAACCCCTGATATTACACACTCCTCTCACGTCATAATATACTACTGTCGAAATCACAATATCCTAATTCCTCTGTTGTCATAATATCTGCTCTGACATAATTGTATCCTGATACCACTGGTATCTTGTCATCTTTATGCTTCCAACATTTCTCAAACCTCAGACGTCATTATATATCACAGTATATTCTTTGATTGTGCGTCATCCTTACTGACATAAGTCCCTACATCTCTCAAATAACTCTGATCACAATATCCAGTTATAATCACCTTACAATATCTGATGTAACTATATCCGATACTTTATATATATATAATCTATTAGACAAATAACTCTGATGTAACTATATCGCTGATACTTTATATATATCAGGTCATTCTCCTCACGTCACCTTATCCTACATACCTCTGGACAAATAACTCTGATGTAACTATATCGCTGATACTTTATATATATCAGGTCATTCTCACGTCACCTTATCCTACATACCTCTGGACAAATAACTCTGATGTAACTATATTGCTGATACTTTATTTATATCAGGTCATTCTCCTCACGTCACCTTATCCTACATACATCTGGCGTCATGATATCACATATCTAACTTAGCTTACAATGCCTCTAACATAACGCCTTCTATATGACCTCTGACATTACGCCATACATCTCTCATAGCTTTGACGTCACACAATATCACTTATCTCTGACGTCTTAATATACCCATTACCACCGTCAACTCCGGACTTCCATAGCATAGGTAAGTAGATTTGTAATCCAGATATCAATAATATAATCGATCAACAGAAAACTAAGGCTAACAGATATTTGTGATGCTGTGTCTCTTTCGGTAACATCTGTTACATACGTCGATAACCTCTCGTAAAGACGGAAAAATAGCTTGGACAAGGTGTAAACATGTATAAATACAAAAGTCATATTTACAGAACACGTCCACAAAACATGTCTTTATCAAAGAACATTGTTGTCTTGCTCATAAATGCGATCTTTTAGAGCCAACTTTAACGACATACCTATAAATCTGCCGTGAATTATCCGTCATAGCATTGCAAACGTTTTATACTGGTCATATAAACCATTAGTTTTTTTTTTTAATATAAAACCATGTTTTTTCTATAGAATTTTCATGTAAGTTACCATGTTTTGAATTTAACATTCCAATCACTAATCATTCTTGAATTGTAATGTCACAATCCCATCCTAAACCAATCTATAGATCTTAACTAGGGCTGTGCCATCGCTGAAATTAATTATGACTACAATACATACTTGGACGACATGTGTAAGACGACAGATAAAAGGTCGGCAACAGCAGGTAGTGCATCTCATACCGACAAGATCGAACAAGGTAGGGAAGTGGTTTTTTTGGGATATCATGTCGTGTAGCTAGAAATATTGTTGTTAAATCTGATTTAAACCCGGTCGTTAAATTTATCATATGCCTCCTTTCTTATCTCTTTCTAATCTTTTCCTTAGTTCGCTGTTGTCTATCTTACCGAGGTAGACCTCAAATACATATAAAAAATTTCGGCCAATCTTCTGGTTTTCAACACTTCTACTTTAATGGAACCTCACATGACGAAACAGTTGTATGATGTAGCATCACTGACGAGTCCTATAAGGACGAAACTGTTGTATGATGTAACATCACTGACGAGTCCTGTAAGGACGAAACAGCTGTATGATGTAGCATCACTGACGAGTCCTATAAGGACGAAACAGTTGTATGATGTAGCATCACTGACGAGTCCTATAAGGACGAAACAGTTGTATGATGTAGCATCACTGACGAGTCCTAGAAGGACGAAACAGCTGTATGCTGTAGCATCACTGAAAAGTCCTCTAAGGACGAAACAGTTGTATGATGTAGCATCACTGACGAGTCCTAGAAGGACGAAACAGCTGTATGATGTAGCATCACTGACGAGTCCTAGAAGGACAAACAGCTGTATGATGTAGCATCACTGACGAGTCCTATAAGGACGAAACAGTTGTATGATGTAGCATTACTGACGAGTCCTAGAAGGACAAACAGCTGTATGATGTAGCATCACTGACGAGTCCTAGAAGGACGAAACAGCTGTATGATGTAGCATCACTGACGAGTCCTATAAGGACGAAACAGTTGTATGATGTAGCATCACTGACGAGTCCTAGAAGGACAAACAGCTGTATGATGTAGCATCACTGACGAGTCCTAGGAGGACGAAACAGCTGTATGATGTAGCATCACTAACGAGTCCTATAAGGACGAAACAGTTGTGTGATGTAGCATCACTGACGAGTCCTAGAAGGACAAACAGCTGTATGATGTAGCATCACTGACGAGTCCTAGAAGGACAAACAGTTGTATGATGTAGCATCACTGACGAGTCCTAGAAGGACAAACAGCTGTATGATGTAGCATCACTGACGAGTCCTAGAAGGACAAACAGCTGTATGATGTAGCATCACTGACGAGTCCTAGAAGGACAAACAGTTGTATGATGTAGCATCACTGACGAGTCCTAGAAGGACGAAACAGTTGTATGATGTAGCATCACTGACGAGTCCTAGAAGGACGATACAGCTGTATGATGTAGTATCACCGACGAGTCCTAGAAGGACGATACAGCTGTATGATGTAGCATCACCGACGAGTCCTAGAAGGACGAAACAGCTGTATGATGTAGCATCACTGACGAGTCCTAGAAGCACGAAACAGCTGTATGAAATGTATTATTTGGCTATACTTTATTTCCAGGTCTGTATTGAAAGGTGGTGTTCACCTGTGATTTTTTTTACTGATTTGAGGAGAGTAATATTAAATGATAAAATAAAGCACTGTACAGCTATTGATCTACCCGGGGCAACTTTTAATTTCTCAGATCACTTGATCATTTTCAACCGCATCTGCATCTATCGAAGAGCTCATCAAAAAGGTTATCCAAAGGACTATCTACCAAGGGGTTCTACTGCAACTATAGCGGATAGTCAGAACCCTTCGGACCAATCAAAATTAGACAAAAAGACCCTGTTAAATCATTGTTGTTCATGTTTTGATATCACGACGATGTCTTCAGATAACGAGATTTATTAGCCTTGTTTATCGTATTTATCCTCTACACTTGGAAATCTAATTCGGTCGCTTACTAATAGGGACAGCTCGATTTCTCTCTTGTGAATTTTCCATTTCTTGATATATCCTGCTTCACCACCTCCAGTGTTTACGATATTCGTCGTCTGGTTCCCAATGGTTCGATGCCAGTTAGTATGCATTGGGTTCCTTTGTTGCTAAATGTTTTCTATTGAAAATGCGACATTACTTAATTGGATTGACCAAGCTTTACATGGCAGTTTTCGATGAAACGTAAAACGCTTACCTTTTCGGAACACCTGGTCTTAGTCTCCTTCTTTTTTCAGGAATATCCGTGTAAATCTTTGTGTTTAGATTTCGCCCTTGTTCCATTGAAGATAATTTTTTAGCACTTTTAGATCCCTCTTTGAGGTATTCATGCATAGGGATTGTACTTAATGAGCGAGTATTGTAAGGAAGCAATGAAAACTACGGGCGAAGAGCAGGGACTTCAAAGAGACGAATAATGAATTACCAGCATACTAACACCACAAACCACACGAAATAACATATTAAGCAATCAACACACTGACCAAAAACAATACTTGCTTATAATTACGTAAAATTATCAAATAATAAAATTACGTATATTTGAAACTGAATTTCAGAAAACAACCATGCACAATATTGCTTTTTTAATGTTTTTCTTTAATTTATAATAGTTCAATCTGACAAGTGTTTCTAAAGACTTAATATTCTACTGCAAAACTGTCTTGGTTTGAAATGAATATTAATAGAATATGTAATCTGTTTAAATTTCCATGTTTCATATTACAAAACGAGTCATTGGCGACTCCAAAACTGTATGATGAATCACGAGATTACACAGAAAGGCCTTATTAAAAGGGGGAACAGGTTCAAAGAATATGAAATATAAATAAGTGTCCGTGATGTATATCTGGAAACAAACATAGTACTGGCAATGCCAGATAGGAAAAATCTACATATAAGAAATCGCAAAATTCAGAAATATCTCACAAAACATAGAAAATCAACTTTGGAGAAAAATGATTACATTTACATTTAATATTGATGTTTTTATCAATTCATTACAAAGGTAGTGTACAGCTAAGGCCTCTACCACGAGTGTACTAGGTTATGATACCAATACTGATTCAGCCTTGCGCCAATGCTTGTTCTACAATAGATAACAGGTCCTATGTGACATGAACTCATTCCCCTGAATATATTCATATAAGACAGCTTGGTTCTTAATATGAAGTAGTTTCTAATACAAGTATCACCTTTTCTATGCAACATAAGGTAGACGTATTGTATTGAAATTACTACGCTTATTCATCGTTGGGCTAAACAAGCTGATCATACGCTAAAATTTAATTGCGCCAAATTAAATCAATCTATAGTAATGCAAAAGGGTATCCGATGCAGGAGGAAATCGCACATGTAAAAAAGAATAAGATATGTCCCTAAATCTGACTGGTTTTATCGTGCAGAAAGTTTTATCCGAACACAATAGTTTTGACATTTTAGGTCCAAAATCAAGTTCCTGAGCATTGATGCCTACTAATACGCCAAACTTAACTCTTTAACGGGTACAAAGTCAGTCGAAATATAATCAGACCACCGAAACTTCGCCGTCAACACATAGCCATGTCCATATCGTGAAATATTAACACTTCCGCGAAAATGAAGTTGTATTGAGTTGTTGTTCTTGATTGTTATTATATAAAAAAGCACAATATTCCCCACCCTCAAATTAATGTTTTTGATTTACTATTATTGTAGACAAGTCCATATGATACAACTGTTGATAGTCTACTGACGTAGACTTATAATTAGTTACCTTTATAAGCATAACTTATAATTACATGATACAACATAATGTGAACCCCTAGCTCTAGTAGCTGTTCTGTATGTATTGTGACTTTAGTTAATAATGATATTTTTATTAAATCGGAACACTATACATGTACTGGAGGCCCCTAAACGAATATTGTATTAACTTTTATTGTAATTTATTATTTTATTTTTGCAATAAACTATGCAGATGTCCAATTGGCCGGACTAGACGGAAGGAAGTCAGGGAAGACAGAACTGTATCCTGTAACTATTACAGAACGTTCAGAACAGGCAGTGAAAATACATTACATTGGTTATTAATTTTGTCTGCATTAAAAAAGTCATTCATCTGAACGCCAACATACCATAGGTGTTTTTTTTTTAAAAACAAATGACTATTGCATGCCAATGTTTATTTATATCATACAATTGGTTTGGTTTATCATATTGATTAACAAATTTAACATCCTAACAGCTAATATCATTTAATAAGGATGGCCTGGTATGTCTCAGCAAGGGGACAGAACACAAGGCCTTCCTCACATGGGTGAACATTAAGTGAGGCAGGCATGGTATATAAATATAACCATACTGTGTCGTATAAGTTGCCCTTCTCACATCTTAGTATTTATCTGTGTTTACACTGCATATATATATATATATATGAACATATAAACATAATGTAGTGTATTTGGTCTAAATTCACCATTCATGTCTAATCGCAGCCACTTTTTAATTCACATAAAATGTAAAAACTATAGGTTTACAATTATTTTACAATTAATGTATGGCAGTGTACAGACTGATTGTCAGACTTAAATATAAAGGCAAATAACATTAAAAGTATTGAATTGGGTTCATATCTCATATTTTTTTCATTATGGCTTTACAGGTTGCACTGTAACACAATCAAATACTGAGGCAACATGAAACTGGAAAGGGGCTTGTGACATGTTCGTGAAATAAATATGCGCTGTTATAATATTAAAAGCTTTTATGATTGATCGCAGTGATATATATATATATGAATATCTATTTGTGTTTATTTTTTCAATTTGAACAGGATGGTAAAAAAATATGACGAATGGAAAAATCCAGAGGAATTGGTCAAAATCCATGACTGTCAAGACCAACCACTGATATATCAACAACTCCATGTAGGTAAACAGATGAATTAAGCCATACAAATTTACTTCTGACCCTAGTCTGACAGAAAATTTGTTTCAAAAACTGACTGTCCGAGTGAATGAAATGGATATGTTGTGATACTTAGCATTATTATTGAATGTTATAATTGAAGGTCAAGGTTGAAATTGCTACAAACAATTTTTACACTGATTAGTTTTAAATCATATCAACATGTTGTGGCTGTATACAAACCATAATTTTGAGCTGACTGTTTAGAGGTATATTGTGATTGTGTTCCTCCCCGAAAGAAATATTACCAAATTGAAGGTCAAGGTCATAGGTGAAAGCCATGGTCAAGGTCACAGTAACTGAAATGTTACCAAATGGTTACTTTATACACAAAACAGCAGAACCCTAAAATGCACTTATTTCATAATTTATATAATGCCACACCATGGTCATAGGATGATGCCTATGGAAGGTCAAGGTCATAGGTTCAAGGTCATGGTAGCTGAAATGTTACTAAAATGTGTACACACAATAACAGCTGCTGAACTGTCCAATGGATCTTCTTCATATACTTGTATTAATATAGTAGTCTCTATCACTAGCTTGAATTAGTGGGGATTTACTGCAAGAAATATGAACAATGATGTACATATTGGTAACGAAAATAATTTGTCATAGATGACATTGTTTCAGTGATAAAGATATTACTTAATTTGTACTATGAATTTCTTTATTGAGGCCAGTCAAGCCACCTTCTTTTTAAAAGCATATTTCTGCTCCCATGAGTGGAATTCATAGATGAACATTGCTACATATTTAGGTGCCTGATTATGTTTACTCTTAAGACAATAAACATATAAATCAGATTTGGTTTGTCATCAGTCACATGGTCACACTTAGATGACCTCTTTGAATCTTTTCCATGTAGGTACACTTCAGATATAAAAAATAACTGAATGTTTATTTTCCTTTTAACTTACAGGCACATCTGAAAGAAACTCTAATGCCATCTAAAACAGACTCTTTGAAAAAAATAAGAGTTCCATTGGAAGATCAGGAAGACTTTTCCTTGTTAACATCAAGACGATTGATATGTAAAGAAACTAAAACCAGGACAATTTACACCATTGGGAAAAGATTTGACTTTAACCCAAATTTAGGAGAAGGGTGGGACCACAGTCTTTAACAAAGAGGGTGACATGTACATAATCACTTCCACAGTCAAGTTCTACCTTCATGAAAGAAAACCATTGACTGACTTTGTGGTGTATCCCGACCACTGTGAAGAAAGGGACATTAGTAGAGGTTTTGTTGTTTGTTTCAATTTTGTAGTCAAGAATGGAAATAAGGGAAAATTCACGGATCTCTTAAAGACAATATTTTATGAGAGTGTCAAGGTATGTTGTACGACAGCAAAAAATGGACTCATCACTTTTAATTTTATAGTTGTACTATATTATAGTAGCACTTGTTGGTAAGTTTTATTCATATGATTATGTCATCAGGATTTGAACTACAAAAGGATATTGTTTTCAAAATTCTTGAAAGCCAGTTTTGGCACAAGACACTGAGTCTTGAAACTGTAGAACTTTTATAAACACAGATTGAAAAACAATACTCTGTGTAGATTGCTTTAATTTCTGTTCAAGCTAAAATCAGATGGTTTAAGGAAAAAATGAAAAGGTGGGAGACAGTTTGAAGCATTTAAGGATCAGTTGCATCATGAGAAATATACTTTTTTTTTCTTTCTTTTTTTTTTATTTTTCCAGGTTCACATAATACGATACAATAGTACAAGTAGTATATTCATGATTGATGTCAACTCTTACATATGTATAAATAATTAATATACTTGTCAAACATGATATATATATATCTATTATTATTTTAAGAATTCATTTCTTATATACTATCCCATCTATTGATGAAGTCAAATCGGTGTTATTATATTATAAGCAGATTGACATTCAGAGTGCGTTCTTTTATACCCAGACATAGGTAGACCATATCAGAGCAAAATGGAGATCTATCACCACAGCACTGGATCTCGACCAGTAGATGTATGTAAGAAATGAAAAATATACTTGGTTTGTTGAGGTTATTTCAAAGGACAAGTATTTCCCGCTATGTCGACACAATGCTAGACCGTCGATACATTGCCAGGTCGTCAACATTAATAGAAGTCCGTGCATATATCACATATATTCAGTCATCATTCCAAACATTTAAAGACTAAAGCACTTTTGGTGCTGAAGTGGTTTTCCATTGTTACACTAACTCTGCGGGTTGTCGTTCTCACCATAGCACGCGTGTTATCGGGCGTGATAGCTGAATTCTTGCTACAAGAAACATATAGCGTGTCGATATGTCGACATTTTTGTAGGACAATTTTAACTGCGTCTGCAGTTATCAAATCATTCTTCATTATGAAAAGTTTCTTAATCATCGTGCTGAACTCTGCTACCGCCAGCAGACAAGAGTCTGTGAGATTTGTCGCTTTTACTGCTGACCCGCCAGAAATATCAAGCGTCCGTAAGTGACGACATTTCTGAAGGAGGAATCTGACGGAAGAGTCCGAGAGAGAGTGGCATCCCCTGATTGATAAATCCACGAGATCGGGACAATGACGTCCGATTTGTCTCAAACTGGTATCAGTTAGGGAAGACGAAAATCCCAAGTGTAACACACGTAAATGAGAATGTTGCGAAGAAACTGAATCAAAATCTGGCACACTAATTTGCAATAGTTTATGTTGGTTGGAACATGTATCGGATTTTTGTGTGTCTAATGTAATTTGCGGTTCTGGTACGTTTTGGCTTAAAATGTTTTCTTTTTTCAGTTGTTGTTTAGAATCTGTCGGTATCATCATTTCTCTTTTCCTCGTAACAAAAATGGAAGGCGTGACATTATTATAAGCTTCATATCGGATGCACGTGTCGCCGTAATCAGAACTCACTGCGTTTCTTGGATCTTGAAAATCAAACGCTGTTTCAATCGCATCGTTTTGTTTCATCAAAGAATCTTTCTGTAAGGCTGGTACATCTGAAAACGACTGGAAGGGTGTTCCTAAATTGTCATGTACTCCTTTCTTGTCATCTGTACCAATGTCGTTATTCACGTTTACAACAGGAGATTGATCAAATCCGGAATTATCCGTGTTTGTTACGATGTCATCAAATTTCAGTTTCGACATGAACCGACATGTTTCTAGTTGGAGTGAATACAAGTGTTTACAAGTGACAACAAGCTTGTTAACAGCCTCGGATGTGATCTGTAAACATGAATTTAAATTCACTATCCTCAGGGATAAGCAATTCTTAGCAAAAGCAATAACGCTTGCGTCTGTTACAGACAAACATTCGGCGACCTGGATTTCCTCCAGGTCTCGACATTGTTCAGCAATTTCAATGAGACCTGTGCTACCAACTCCTGGACATTTATTGATAACGAGACACTTAAGTCGTGGACATCCACGTGCTAACGACATTAGACCGTTGTCAGTTATGTTCCGTCCTGGTGTACTGTGCATTTCTAGACTATTGACGATCAGGTCCCGCAGCTCACCACAATGGTCGGCGACATGAGCGAAACCTACATCAGTGACTAATGCACAACCTTGTACAGACAGACGCTGAAGCCTTGGGCAGTTCCTCGCGATCTGATCAAGAGCGATATCGTCTGCATTTGTGTTGTCAAGTGAGAGAGAAACGAGAGATGTCAGTCTGTCTATTCCTGAAAAGGCGCCCTTTGTAATGCGAGAACAGTTATTCAATGATAAATACTTTAAAACAATATCATTGAAAGACAATAGGACCTTTATAACGTCGTCTGATATACCATCACAGTGCACAACAAGTGTCTCCATATGTTGATTATGTAAAACAAAGTCCGTCAATTCATCAAAACGTTTGTCTTCACATTCATCTTCGTCCGTGCAGAGAAGACAAAGTTTCTTCAAATTTATAGTTGACAAATTTGAAAGTGTGTGTATCACACGGAGGATATCTGTTAACAGACCTCTTAAGGAAATTTCCTTAACAGCCGGATGTCGACACAGAAACGAGTTAACAATGTCAGGGCTGTCTGACTCTAGGTCAAGGTCAACGCTGTGTAAACCTGGACAGGTCACTTTCTTGTCCTCTAGAATTTGTATGTACAGTGCACACGATTGTATGTACAGTACACACGATTGTATGTACAGTACACACGATTGTATGTACAGTACACAGGATTGTATGTACAGTACAAACGATTGTATGCACAGTACACACGATTGTATGTACAGTACACACGATTGTAAGTGTGAGGGAAAAGGATTTACAGTACACACGATTGTAAGCCTGAGAGAAACAGTATGTACAGTACAAACGATTGTAAGCCTAAGAGAAACATTATGTACAGTGCACACGATTGTATGTACAGTGCACACGATTGTATGTACAGTGCACACGATTGTATGTACAGTACACACGATTGTATGTACAGTACACACGATTGTATGTACAGTGCACACGATTGTAAGCCTGAGGGAAACAGTATGTACAGTACACACGATTGTATGTACAGTACACAGGATTGTATGTACAGTACACACGATTGTAAGCCACACGATTGAAGAAACAGTATGTACAGTACACACGATTGTAATCCTGAGAGGAACAATATGTACAGTACACACGATTGTAATCCTGAAGAAAAAGTATGTATAGTGCACACTATTGTAAGCCTGAGGGAAACAGTATGTACAGTACAGACAATTGTAAGCATGAGGGAAACAGTATGTACAGTACACACGATTGTAAGCCTGAGAGAAACAGTATGTACAGTACACACGATTGTAAGCCTGAGAGAAACAGTATGTACAGTACACACGATTGTATATACAGTACATACGATTGTATGTACAGTACACACGATTGTACGACTCTATGTACAGTACACACGACTGTAAGTCTGAGGGAAAAGGATGTACAGTACACACGATTGTAAGCCTGAGAGAAACAGTATATACAGTACACACGATTGTAAGCCTGAGAGAAACAGTATGTACAGTACACACGATTGTAAGCCTGAGGGAAACAGTATGTACAGTACACACGATTGTAAGCCTGAGGGAAACAGTATGTACAGTACACACGATTGTAAGCCTGAGATAAACAGTATGTACAGTACACACGATTGTAAGCCTGAGGGAAACATTATGTACAGTACACATGATTGTAAACCTGAGATAAACAGTATATACAGTACACATGATTGTAAGCCTGAGAGAAACAGTATTACAGTACACACGATTGTAAGCCTGAGAGAAACAGTATGTACAGTACACACGATTGTAAGCCTGAGAGAAACAGTATATACAGTACACACGATTGGAAGCCTGAGAGAAAGAGTATGTATAGTACACACGATTGTAAGCCGGAGAGAAACAGTATGTACAGTACAGAAGATTTTAAGTCTGAGAGAAACAGTATGTACAGTACAGACGATTTTAAGTCTGAGAGAAAGAGTATGTACAGTACAGACGATCGTAAGCCTGAGGGAAACAGTATGTACAGTACACACGATTGTATATACAGAGCATACGATTGTATGTACAGTACAAACGATTGTATGTACAGTACACACGATTGTAAGCCTGAGAGAAACAGTATGTACAGTACACACGATTGGAAGCCTGAGGGAAATAGTTTGTACAGTACACACGATTGTAAGCCTGAGAGAAACAGTATGTACAGTACACACGATTGTAAGCCTGAGGGAAACAGTATGTACAGTACACAAGATTGTAAGCCAGAGAGAAACTGAATGTACAGTACACACGATTGTATGCACAGAACACACGATTGTATGTACAGTACATACGATTGTATGTACAGTACACACGATTGTATGTACAGTACACACGATTTTAAGTTTCAGAGAAACAATATGTACAGTAAACACGATTGTATATACAGTACACACGATTGTATGTACAGTGCACAGGACTGTAAGCCTGAGAGGAACAGAATGTACAGTACACACGATTGTAAGGCCTGAGAGAAACATTATATACAGGACACACGATTGTAAGCCTGAGAGAAATAGTATGTATAGTACACACGATTGTAAGCCTGAGAGAAACAGTATGTACAGTACACACGATTGTATGCACAGTACACACGATTGTAAGTCTGAGAGAAACAGTATGTACAGTACACACGATTGTAAGCTTGAGAAAAACAGTATGTACAGTACACATGATTGTAAGCCTGAGAGAAACAGTACGTAAAGTACACGCGATTGTATGTACAGTGCACACGATTATATGTACAGTACACACGATTGTATGTACAGTGCACACGACTGTAAGCCTGAGAGAAACAGTATGTACAGTACACACGATTGTAAGCCTGAGAGAAACAGTATATACAGTACACACGATTGTAAGCCTGAGAGAAACAGTATTACAGTACACACGATTGTAAGCCTGAGAGAAACAGTATGTACAGTACACACGATTGTAAGCATAAGGGAAACAGTATGTATAGGACACACTATTGTAAGCCTGAGCGAAACAGTATATAAAATACACACGATTGTAAGCCTAAGAGAACCAGTATGTAAAGTTCACACGATTGTAAGCGTAAGGGAAACAGTATGTACAGTTCATACGATTGTAAGCTTAAGGGAAACAGTATGTACAGTACACACGATTGTAAGCCTGAGAGAAACAGTATTCCAGTACACACGATTGTATGTACAATGCACACGACTTCAAGCCTGAGAGAAACAGTATGTACAGTACACACGTTAGGAACCCGGAGGGAAACAGTATGTACAGTACACGATTGTAAGCCTGAGAGAAATAGTATGTACAGTACAGACGATTGTAAACTTAGAGAGAAACATTATGTACAGTACACACGATTGTAAGCCGGAGAGAAACAGTATGTACAGTACACACGATTGTATGTAACAGAAGATTTTATTGTAAGCCTGAGAGAAACAGTATGTACAGTGCACACGACTGTAAGCCTGAGAGAAACAGTATATACAGTATATACGATTGTAAGCCTGAGAGAAACAGTATGTATAGTACACACGATTGTAAGCCTGAGAGAAACAGTATGTACAGTACACACGATTGTATGTACAGTACACACGATTGTATGCACAGAACACACGATTGTATATACAGTACACACGATTGAAGGCCTGAGAGAAACAGTATGTACAGTACACACGATTGTAAGCCTGAGAGAAACAGTATGTACAGTACACACGATTGTAAGCCTGAGAGAAACAGTATTACAGTACACACGATTGTATGTACAGTTCAGACGATGGTATGTACAGTGCACACGACTGTAAGCCAGAGAGGAACAGTATGTAGAGTACAAACGATTGTAAGCCTGAGAGAAACAGTATGTACAGTACACACGATTGTAAGCCTGAGAGAAACAGTATTACAGTACACACGATTGTATGTACAGTGCACACGACTGTAAGCCTGCGAGGAAAAGTATGTACAGTACACACGATAGGAACCCTGAGGGAAACAGTATGTACAGTACACACGATTGTAAGCCTGAGAGAAATAGTATGTACAGTACACACGATTGTAAACCTGAGAGAAACAGTATGTACAGTACACACGATTGTAAGCCTGAGAGAAACGGTATGTACAGTACACACGATTGTAAGCCTGAGAGAAACAGTATCTACAGGAAACAGGATTGTAAGACTGAGAGAAATAGTATGTAGAGTACACACGATTGTAAGCCTGAGAGAAACAGTATTCCAGTACACATGATTGTAAGTCTGAGGGAAACATTATGTACAGGACACACGATTGTACGTACAGTACCCACGATTGTATGTACAGGACACACGAATGTAAGCCTGAGAGAAATAGTATGTACAATACACACGATTGTAAGCCTGAGAGAAACAGTATGTACAGTACACACGATTGTAAGCCTGAGAGAAACAGTATTACAGTACACACGATTGTAAGCTGAAGGGAAACAGTATGTACAGTTCACACGATTGTAAGCCTGAGGGAAACAGTATGTACAGTACACACGATTGTAAGCCTGAGAGAAACAGTTTGTACAGTAAACACGATTGTAAGCCTGAGAGAAACAGTATGTACAGTACACACGATTGTTAGCCTTAGAAAAACAGTATGTACAGTACAAACGATTGTAAGCCTGAGAGAAACAGTATGTACAGTACACACCATTGTAAGCCTGAGAGAAACAGTATGTACAGTACACACGATTGTAAGCCTTAGAGAAACAGTATGTACAGTACACACGTACAGTACACACGATTGTAAGCCTGAGAGAAACATTATGTACAGTACACACGATTGTAAGCCTGAGAGAAACAGTATTACAGTACACACGATTGTAAGCCTGAGAGAAACAGTATGTACAGTACACACGATTGGAAGCCTGAGGGAAACAGTGTACAGTACACACGATTGTAAGCCTGAGAGAAACAGTTTGTACAGTACACACGATTGTAAGGCTGAGATAAACAGTATGTACAGTACACACGATTGTAATCCTGAGAGAAAGAGTATCTACAGTACGCATGATTGTATTGTATGTATACAGTACACACGAGTAAGAAACAGAAACAGTATGTACAGTTCAAACGATTGTAAGCCTGAGAGAAACAGTATGTACAGTACACACCATTGTAAGCCTGAGAGAAACAGTATGTACAGTACACACGATTGTAAGCCTTAGAGAAACAGTATGTACAGTACACACGATTGTAAGCCTGAGGGAAACAGTATGTACAGTACACACGATTGTAAGCCTGAGAGAAACAGTATGTACAGTACACACGATTGTAAGCCTGAGAGAAACAGTATGTACAGTACACACGATTGTAATCCTGAGAGAAACAGTATATACAGTAAACACGATTGTAAGCCTGAGAGAAACAGTATATACAGTACACACGATTGTAAGCCTGAGAGAAAGAGTATGTATAGTACACACGATTGTAAGCCGGAGAGAAACAGTATGTACAGTACACACGATTGTAAGGCTGAGAGAAACAGTATGTACAGTACACACGATTGTAAGCCTGAGAGAAACAGTATGTACAGTACACACGATTGTAAGCCTGAGAGAAAC